GTCCGCCCGCCCTGCCGGGCACTGCTTGACCTCGGGTAAGAGCCCGGTGTGGGGGGAACAAGGCTCTGCATCCCGGAGAGCTGCACGGGCCGGTATATGAGCGAGTCGTGGCTCTCGACATCTCCAGCTTCGGGTGCCTTCTCCGGGTTTGCTCCCTGACATAGCCCTTGTCCATATTCCCCGGTTCGGCTGTGTCCCACTGCCCGGAGCAGCTCGGCAGGGGGATGGTCCCTATGGGAGACGTGGTGTTAGTTAACTGATTTCTGTCAAGAGTTGAGAAATGTATGTTTTCAACTTTAGTCAAAACCAAGACACATATGTCCACTCTTCCCCTCTCTTGGATGGGTTTGTGATTGCAAAGGCCTGTCAAGAGGCACCTTGCAGTTTCTCCTTGGGAAGAGCTAGGGAGTGAGGGTGGGAAGCATGTCTCAGTTCTTTGACCGAGTGATGCTGAGAGTCTTTAGTATAGACTGTGCTTCAGAAAGCTCAGTGCTGAGCATCTCTCCTAAGAAGAGAGGCTGAGCGCTGGGATTGTTCAACTTGGAGAAGAGAAGGCTCAGGGATGAACTTTTATATATATTTATATATATGTGTGTGTATATACAAATACCTGAAGGGGAGGGTACAAGGAAGACAGAGCCAGGCCCTTTTTGTTGGTGCCCAGTGATGGGACCAGAAGCAGTGGGGACAAAATGGAGCACAGGAAGCTCCTGAACATCAGGAAACTCTTTTTCACTGTGAGGGTGACTGAGCATTGGAGTTGGTTGCTCAGAGAACTTTCAGAATCTCCGTTCTTTGAGATATTCAAGAGACACCTAGGCATGGTTCTGGGCAACTGGCTCTAGGTGGCCCTGCTGGAGCAGGTCCCCTGGAGGTCCCTTCCAACATCAAGGATGGAATCTGTGATTCCTTTATCTGAAGGTCCTCAGGTAAGTCTTTGCTGTACTGGCAAGCAAGTTAGATCATAAAGGCCAGGAGGCATTTAACATCCAGGACCCTCTAGCCTTGTTATGATGTATTGATGTGCTTCCTTCTGTCACTAGTGAGCAAGCCCATAAGGCACAAGTCCAACAAAATCATGGCAACATCTGGAGGAACTGGCCGCTCTCCCCTCAGCATTCTGCAAGATGAAAATTCTCCCAGTGCTCCTGCCCCTCGCCAGGTAAGGCTTAATGGGTCATACTGTGGGAGGGAGAATGTCCTGAAAAAAAACCCCTGGATCCATCAATTTCTATACTCTGTGGGGCCCCAGTTTGGAACTGTGGTCTCTTAGGGCTGTGGAGCCTGGTGACTTCATAAATATTTGTAGGTCAGTCTTGCCCCTAGATGCCTCCAAGCCTTGTTCAACATCTGTCATTGGCCTTACCATGATGTTGCCCATTTTCAGTGCATTCTTTCTCTTTAGGCTGTAGAAACAAGTCCATCACTCTTGTACAGTCACAAGAGAGCCAAAGCTGAATGGCCTGGAAATGGGCTACATGTTCCACTGAGAATTACTTAACCCTCAATTAACTTGCATTTTACACTCTGTTTGGATTTTTATTTCTCTAGGGGAAAAGGCACGTGTTGGGAGAGAACCTTGGGGAGAAGAAGGAAGTGACAGTGGATCTGAGCAGGAGCCTTAAATCTGGGAACTGTGCTTGGCATGACTTGAACAAAGAGAACCAACAGTGTCCTTTTGTGGAGAACTAGAGACTTCCTTTTTCAAGATCTTGCTGTAATTTGTTTCTGTGTTTTGAGAGTTTTCTAGGAGGGGGAGAAATCCTGCAATACGCTGAAACTCCAGAGCATTGGTTTTTTTGAAAGACCACACTCTCTCCCTCTCCCCCTCCTAGTTTTTTAATGTCATGTACAGCTGATTTTGGACTGTCTATTGTATATCAGCTGTATTGGTTTACTGTAGAGTTCTTGGCTGTAGTAAATAAAGTTGTGTTAACCCTTTGCTGACTGTGTCTATGTCCTGATAGGACAGCAGGAGTCCCCCTGCTTGCCCAGTGCAATATTTCCTTTGGGGACAAGGGTTCAGGAACAAACAGTTTAGCCTTCCATCAGCCTAAAAACTCTGCTCTATCCTCTGCCTGTAACATGCTGAAGGGTCTGGCCTTGAACCCATATACAGCAGTTTGGGCTGGGAAGCTGCAGCTCTTTGCAAAAGACTGATGCATATCTAGTGTTGCTTCTGGAGTTGTACTGCCTCTACACTAGCTTAAAACTAATGTAGGACTGTAGCTTATTTTAAGGGTCTGGCAGGGGGATGAGTTCCAAAATAGCGTGAGATAGTATTGTGCATTAATATCAACCTGTTGATAAGCTGCTAAAACTTGTTATCCTTCAACTCTCCCCCTACCCGAGCCTTGGGACTCCAGGATGTTGCCATGATCCAACAAGTGGAATAGGGGCTTAATGAAGTGACTGTCCTGTAATTGATCTTAGTACACTTGTAGTGTTTGCAAGGATGCATTTTCAGCTTTCTATGCCAACTCCAGCCTTAAAACAGCCTCTTAACTAAAACAGGTGAGGAACACCCTCCCCTGGACCCTGTGAGCTAGAGCAAGGTCTGGATGAGGTGTTCTCTGGATGGGGTCAGCAGCAGGTGCTATTCACAGGAGGGGGGTTATATTTGCAGTAGCCCATTGCAATGCTGGAATGAACACAGCCTGCAGTGCTTATGTGAGCTTTCTTTATTTGCCTGGGCTATGAAGATCTAAACAGACATGGAAACAGGGACCAAGGGCTACTGGTTAGACAGGGTCACCACACAATGCAGGAATGAGGCAAAAAGGGAAGGAACAGCAAGAAGCAGACAATAAATAAGAGTAAATATAATATTCCCTGATATTCTGGCAGGTCTGAGGGCTACCTTTCTGCCATTTATGCATAGATAAGACTTGAACTAAGAAAAGAATAAATATATTCCCTGGTATTCTGGCAGGTCTGAAGGCTACCTTTCCCCCCATTTATGCACAGATAAGACATGAGCTAAGTCTTCCCCACTGGAAAATTAGCCAAATTTACATTAACTTTTTGTTTGAGGTGGTGTCATAGAAATCTCAAACCCAGTACATCTCTGGGGCTGTCTGCAGGGATATGGGACAGCTGTCTAGGGAAGCCAGGTGGAGTTAAATCGGAGAGAGCTTAGTCTGGGGCAGAGCTGTTGGATGAGGGGTCCTCTGAAGGATGGGTGTCAGCATGGGCAGAGGTATTTGAAGGAAGATGCAGGGTGTCTGAATCATACTGTAAAGTCCTGAGACATAATGAACAGTGTTTTGCAGGTCTGCAAGCCTGCACAAGGCTGGAAACTGCTAGGCCTGCTTAGAGGTGGAGAGAAGGGCCAGTGTATGTGCTCCTGCTCCCCAGCTCCCCCTGCTTCCCCTCCCTGACCTCTCCTTTCCCTTTCACTCTGGGAGGTTCCTACAAGTGGCCTGTGTCTAGAGACAAGCGGGAGTGGTAGGTAGGCGTTTCTGTTGTCCTCATCTGACGATGCTGTTTGCGTGGGCTCGGGCTGTGGGCCGTGCTTCTGCTGCTCTTCCCCTCTCTGCTGCTGTCCTCAGTTCCAGACCTTGAGGAAGCTGTCCCAGGAGCCAGTGGCAACAGCCATGCCATCCGCCGTCACCCCCAGGCAGCTGACTCTGTTGTCGTGGCCAGAAAGGATTCCTGTTGGCAGTGGGGGGAAGAAGAGAGGTCAGGGAATGAAGTGGGGCCTGGGAAAGATGATGCTGAGGACATGCATCACAGTCTGTGTACCTACACCCCTGGGTATTGCCCTGTCCCTGCACAGCATGTTACAATCAGTATGTGGCTAGATTGTAGAACTTTTGTGCATGGCATACAACCACCAGCCTTGGGACTGCCCAAAGAGTATTGTTCTTAGGAAGGTATGGCCAGCTGAATCCTCACACAATGCTTTCAACCTGGAGCAATGGTAGGAGTAAGATAGGCTGGCGTCCTTGGCAAGGCTGAGAAATAGCAAAGGCATTGATGGGCTATGTTTCATAAATTTTCTGAGGGTAGGGGCCCACATCTGAAAGAAAACTCGTTTGTGTTCTGTGTATGAGCATCAGAGTATCTAGAGATGTTGGATGAAAGCCCAGGTCCACGCTTGGCTTGGTGCCTGGCCACCAAGTGGCACTGTGAGTACCTGGAACTGGCTAGCAGAAAGCAGGAAATTCTACTGGTGGTTGTGAGCAGTTTTAGCTCACAGGAACCTTCTTTTCCCCCTTGAAACAACGTTGGTTAAAGGCTTGACTTTCTTAACATTAAAAGCAATAATTCTTCTACACAAATGAGTGTTGTACTATTTAGGGTGTTTTCCTTAAGTGCAAGGAAGCTTTGTTAGGCTTCAGTCTGTACAGGATCTATTCCTTTTAGAAAAAATAAATACTTTTTCCTTGCCTTACTAGGGACAGAAGACCTTGAAGAGAACGAAAGAGGGACCTCCAGGAGCCACTCACCCACACGCTCTCCTTTCAGGGAGTCCCAGATGTTGCAGTTGAAGTCATCGTAGCCAGCAAGCAAGAGACGCCCACTGCGGGAGAGGGCGACTGATGTGATTCCACAGATGATGCTCTCGTGAGAGTACACTATGAGCTCCTGGTCTGCCCGGAGGTCGAAGAGACGGCAGGTGGCATCATCTGAGCCAGTGCAGATGGCTTCACCGTTAGGGAAGAACTGGGGAAGGCACACACCAGATTGTAATCAGGTTTTCCTTAGATTCTGACAGATTTCCTCAACTCTTCACCTCCCTGCTAAGCACCAGGAAGCCACAGAGGTAAGAAAACCCAGTGGGACAAGACACTGGATCATGAAAGCTGATTCTGCTGAAAGAGGAGACTGTTGCTTCTCCTAAGACCAAATAACCCCCTTCTACCTCAAGAAAACCAGTGACCTAAGGGCTACAGCTGTTGCAAGACATCTCAGTGCTTGAAAAAGGATTAGTTTGGGGCTTCAGAAGTATCCACTCATTGTCCCCCTGATAGGGTCTGGCATGATTCAGACCTACAAGAGCCTTCCTCTGTCCAATCCTCACACTCCAGCCTTCTCATACATGCTCCATTTCTCTGGCCTTGTTCTGAGGAGCAAAGAAAAGGCTCCTCAGGAGCAGGTATGGCAGAAAAACATACAGCTGGCAAGGTAGCCTTGGGACAGGTGAGAAAAAATGTACTAATTGAAGTCAGTGGAGGGTGATTCAAGCAGAAGACATTTTTGGAAGCTGGAAGGCTCATTTGGTTAGCTACAAGGATTAGCCTGTCATCTCTAGAGCTCTGGTTTGAATACTTGCCTTAATGGAGATACTTTCTCCCAAGTGTCTCTGCTGCCTCCCATGAAAATTTAATCTTCAGAAGATCTTTCCATGATCCCAAGTTCACACCTCTTCTGTCTGGAGCTGACTAAGACCCTCAGCTGGGTTAGTTATTTCCCACTGCCTTGTTTGTGTCTTGCACCAGGGGTCAAGGAGCATGCCTGAACCACAGTTCCTAACAGCTGCTATGAACAAAGCTGCACCAGCACCTGTGTTAGTGTGATGAGTTCCACAGGCCCTGGTGTGCTGGCTGTCCAGGACCTATATGCTTTGGTGCCGGGAAAGAGCCAGCCTTCAAACTTCAGTGAACTTGGGCCCTCCCCTACTTCCCTGGATCATGGGCCTAGGGCCACCTGAGACATTTTTACCCATATGACTGTGACAGCTTCTTTCAACCTTGTCCCAAGACTCTGCTGCAGAGCTGGTCCACCCTCCATTTTCCATTCCTCCCCACCTCTGTGCATACATACGTTGATGGCGTTGATATCGGACTCATGCCCTTGGAAGGTCTGGCGGCAGCCACCCTCCCGCACGTCCCACAGTTTGGCAGTAGCATCGCAAGCCCCAGAGATGAAGATTTTGAAGTCTGGGGAGACAGCCAAGCTCATACAGTCTCCAGTGTGACCCATGAATACAGTCTTCTGCTGCCCCGTCTCAATGTCCCAGAGTATGCTGCAGGAGGGGAGAGGAGACAAATTCTCAGAGCCAACCGAGGCAGAACAGATCTACAGCTGGGCTGAAGAACTCTCCCACTCACAAACCAAAGGAGGGAAGCCATGGCTACAGCCCAGGAAAATGGGGGAGAGCATCCCTGGAGTCAGCCGTATACAACAGGAGATATCTTCACAGCTGTCGCTGGTGATACATTTGCCAAAGCAGCATTAGGCTATGACTGTGGATGCGTGAGGTTTGACTGTAGTCCCATAACCGCAAGAGTTGAAGGGAATACCGAGGTAAGAGCGACACAAACCGTTAAAACAGCAAACAGCTGGAAAAGGTGTGCTGTGTCCATGCCCAGGCAATCAAGCCCTGTGCTACCCTGATCTCTGACAGAAATGCCGCATCCTGACTTGTCCTTGGTCAAGATGTTCTTACAAAGCAGGCGTTGGGATGGGAAGGGGTGGGGTGAAAAAAGACTCGGCAGTGCTCAGAGTAACAGCACAGCGAGACCTGAGAACCGGGAACCAAAGGATCCAGGCGCTAGCTCTGCAGGTGTCCCTCGCACAGTGGGCAAGACTTGAGAAGTGGAGGATATGTGTGGGCTCCACATAAACTTAAAATGTTTTCTGTCCTGGAATAAATGACACTGTGCTTTGTGAGAGCTGACAACACAGCCCCTATTGCTTCAGCAGTAGACTTGCATCTTGACCTGGCCTCAGCTAGGAAGGGAGGA